CCCACCAACATAGTCTCCACCCTATAAGTGTCTGCATCTCTGCCCAATGTGGCTTCCAATTTTCCTCGTCTGGAGAGCCGGGTATGGACTCTGACCTTCGGGAAATCTCTGGTGTCCTCTACGCTGCGCTCCCCCTTTTCCAACCTCAGGTGCCCTGTGGGGGCTGCTCCGCCTGTTATTCGCCAGGACTGTATCATCACCCTTGAAGGTAAAGCCAACCCCATAACACGTAAGATCTGACTTGGCAGGTCCGGGTCCCTCAACCAGGTACCCACCACATTTTTTTTATCCTCGTGCAGCAGTTGCGTCCATGTTGTAGGAATAGCCTCCATAAGTTGTTTCAAGTGGTTCGCAACACTATGAAGTCTCGGGAGCTTTACTATCAGATCCTGTACCTCTATGTAACCAGACTTCGATGCATCCCAAATATCCCTGACTTGGAGTATTCCTTTCTTGGTTCAGGCTTTCCCAAAGCACCCCGCCTAATCAGCCGCCTCAAACAAGGAACAATCTTGATGTGTGATCAGCGGATTATCGAAGAGAAGTTGGTTCAACACCTCTTGCTTAGTCATCGGGGGGGACCTCTCCTTTGTTTTCTTTTCCTTGTTTTGTGAGTTTCACGACCGCAACTTTTCCTGTTCCTTTTTTTTTTCTTCTTTTTTTTCTTCCCGTGAGAGTACAAGTGTAATATCTGTTCTGATCCGTGGTCCATTGGACCACATTAAAAAGAAAAAAGAAAAAAGAAAATGGAGTGGGACTTGGCTTGGCAAAACTGGGAGCGCAGTGAAATTCAAGGTTGGAAAAAACAAGCTCGGACGTACTAGTGGAACCCCCCCTTCCCCCCCCCTACCCTTGGGGTCTGACTGCAGTGCTCTCCACATGTGCAAAAGACAGAAAAAATGTCAATAGTGAGACGATGAGATAGATGCTTACTACCAAGAAAAATGAGATAGATGAGAGAAGAATATACCTTACCTTAAAAAAAAAAAAAAAAAAAAAAAAAAAAAAAAAAAAACACAATGTATCTTTCCATGTTCTGGTGGTGGATTCAGTCTCATTTTGCACATTTGGAGAGTAGTGCAGCTAGGCCCTTGGAGTCTCCATGAGACTTGCCATAATATTTGTCCTTTGTGTATGTCCACAAACCAGCGGAGTGAGGCGGCAAAAATGGAATAGTATTCTACGCCAAAAAAAAGAGGTCAGTAAGTTACATCGTATTGCCTCTCCATCCATTCTGCACGGGACCCCTAAAGCAACTCTAAACCAATGAGAAAAGGGAGCCTTACGACTCCCTGCTCTAGATGGCGGAATGCATCATGGATCATCCCACCGTCCGTATAAAATAGAATCAAGACTTCCTAACTGTGCCACAAAGTCACACAGACTAGTATACTAAACTATTCGATGGCATGTGGGACGAGGCCCCTGGATGCCACTTGGGAGACCTACCAACTGTGCCAGGCCGCTGGATTCAAGCCCTTCCATATTCCTTCCAAATTCCTTTTTCTTTTTATAATGCARCGGGAAAATTGGGTCGGGGCTGTCTGCAGTCTGACGCGACCGCAATAACGCAACAAACATCGGACAGCCCCGACCCGACTGCAATAACGCAACAAACATCGAATCCAGGTCATCGGCGCGACGGTCTCCATGAGACTTGCCATGATATTTGTCCTTTGTGCATGTCCACAGACCAGCGGAGTGAGGCGGCAAAAAAGGAATAGTATTCTACACAAAAAAAAGGTCAGTAAACTACACCGTATTGCCTCTCCATCCATTCTGCACGGTACCCCTAAAGCAACTCTAAACCAATGAGAAAAAGGAGCCTTATAGCTCCTTACCCTAGATGGCGGGATGCATCATGCATCATCCCACCGTCCCTATAAAATAGAATCAAGATTTCCTAACTGTGTCACACAGACTAGTATACTAAACTATGTGATGGCATGTGGGGCGAGGCCCCTGGATGCCACTTGGGAGACTTACCAACTGTGCTAGGCCGCTGGATTCAAACCCTTCCATATTCCCTTCAAATTCCTTTTTCCTTTTAGGGAAAATTTTCAAAATGCCCCTGAAGTTTGCGTTTATTTGCGGCGTGCCCCTCTCACGRCTGACTTACCTTGTCGTGCCCCTCTGACGACGAATGATGTTTCCAAAAAAACCCTGGCGTCGTTTGGGTCTGAAAATGTTTCATATGCCCTTACTGGGACCAGTAGCAAATTTTCAGTATGCCCCTACCGGATGACCGTTGAGAACCAGCATAAAAGTTTTCCATGTGCCCTTATTGGTACCGTCCATCTTTCCAGCGAGCCCTTGTGRCCGTTGTTGACATTGACAGTCTTTGACAGTTTTTCCTCTGGCCCCGGGAGRGATGCTACYGGAGCATATCATAAATTTGGCGATGAGCATGGACACACACACACACACACACTCACYCGTTGACAAAAAACACCAAGAAAAAYAAATTATTCACACGCTCCTGTACTRMCTCTTCACCCCAAAACACTTAAAGAACCCAATACARTCTTAAAACTAACACAACCTTGGCTACCACAACCCCTACCACCTAACATAAACCCCTAACACATTCGCATACACTAAGAAATCACAACAAAATCACCAACCACACTTACGCATTTTTTTCCTTTTTTTCCTATCCCGCAACAAAAACCCCTAGATACACGCACACACGGAGGTAGCCTTAACTATAGGAAGCTGGCCAACTGACATTTCGTTAAAACTGACATTTTTTAGTATTTTCATGAAATTGAACTTTGACAATTTCGTCTATGTTTTTGTGTTGAAATGAGTGACTTCTTTCTTTGCAGTAATGGCTACCATCGCATTGTGATGGTATACCATATCCCAATAGATGGTAGGATCATCTATCACAGACCATGCACCACAACTATGGTATGGTATATCCTCTACCGTGAGAGTCCATCATACAACATACATCATCATATGGTACCCCCAGTTCACAACYACGCTTATGCTTGAGTGACTTCCTTCTTTGYAGTRATGRCTATCATYACATGTTCTTAGTATACCATATCCCTTAAGAAAAAAAACATACAYCACAACTATGGTACGGTATATCCTCTAGCGTACGAGTCCATCATACAACATGCATCATCAATGAGCAGTGTGAGTCCAATTGATATTATGCCAATGYCATTYGTGAATTTCGCCAAAGGCTTTCCAATTCGTCTCCGAYTTCTTCAGAGTATAATAATATRAGAGGATACCCACAAYCTATCGAAGGCTCTAAACTGTTATTAGTTACGACAAYACTGRACGAATACGATGCAATTTCAAATCTGCAAATCACGMAGCTATTGAGTCTATTGCGATCCTTCGTCTAATGYCMTGTATGTCACCCATTGTGAAATTGAATGGTGGCACCTTRCCKCTTGCCAAAAAAGATGCGTAAGTGAGCATAAACACTCCGCACTGACTCGCGTCCTCCTGTTTCGGAATGCCCTTCACTTCCAAAATGTGTTCGAAGCATGATAAGTCTATTGGTCGGCCCTGCTRCTTTGAGCGCTCTAGTAAAAATCACGCGAATTAGCSTGTCACCTGTGCAGCTAACTTCGTGTTCGTATCCATTGAATTGTAATACTCTATCWCATTYCGTCGACGKTCAGCTGCAACAAGTGTCCAGTGTTTCTTTTTCGTATCGTGATATGGCGCTAGAATCAACTCCGTGTCTGCTATGATGACATCCCGAAACCATCTAGCAACTTTATCGTACTTATATTCCATGTTCTTGCCTAGAAGTTTAGTAAAAAAATATGAGTTATATGCATCTGTGACGGGGATTGTCCTCGTGCTATATACATTGGACTTGTCAAACGGATTGTCACATTCGCGATGAAATGTTCTCCAATTGTTGTCATGCATAGTCATTTTTATATAGAAATTCACAATGTTGTCGTTCAACCACTCGTTCTCGTTCATGAGGACGCTGAAATCATGCACGGTGAATAACAGYTGCTCTCCAGTAGCGACATTCTTCGTGCTTGTCAATGTTTTCGTATTATTCAGCTCATGTGACATAATGCCTCTTCTTCGATCCCGTTGAGGGCGTCCGTTGCTAAGTGAATAGTCCAACCATGTAAATAGTTGCGTTTGCCTTCATTGCACTGGTTAACTGCATCATCGAACAACAATTTGAACTGTTTGTTGCTAAAGTCTGTTTGCAGCACATCCATTACAACCGTGGTTATCGAACACTCCCTAATTGTATGGTGCACTTTAGCGTCTACTCTGTGTGTGTGTGTGTATGTGTGTGTGTGTGTGTGTGTGTGTGTGTGTGTGTGTGTGTGTGTGTGAGAGAGAGAGAGAGAGAGAGAGAGATCCGCCACTATCCTATTCCCATTAAAATATTGCTTAATTAATAAACTGTCATTTTTCCTCCTCAAACGGATCGTTGGAAAATTGAATGGAATATTACACAATTTCCAGCACTTTTTGTCGATCGACGTCATCGCTTAATAAACTGTCGATTGAGCACTGACAACCGAACCTCTTGTACACCCTTCTGTCCATATTCATGCTCATGCACAAACACACACACACATACACTCTGACAAACACTCTCTGCGACACACTCTCTGACACACACACACACACACACACACTCTGACACACACTCTCTGCGACACACTCTCTGACACACACATAGACACACACACACACACATACATGCACACACGCACACACATACACACACACGCGCACGCACGCATGCACACTGTGGTACACACATACTAACATATGCATACACCCACACATACCCTCACACACATATGCATATGCACATGCACACACACACACACATGTCACTGTAAGACATACACACATGCACACGCATGTGTGCTATGATGCTTTCTTCTCCCTGCCTCTCTTTGAGCGTCGCACACCGCATTCCTGTTTTTTCTCTCTTGCTTCACACTTCGGACTGCACCTTCCCTCACTCCCATCATGCAAAGCAAGGTCCATTCGTTCTGGCTCGGCAGATGACAACGTTCTTCCCTCACTRTGTGACTTTCCACCGTTCTCACATGATTGCTCGATCAAGTCGATCACATGCTCGCTGCCGCCACCGGGATCGGCCACGACAAGAAGCTTCCTTTCCCAATCCATCCTCTTTGTCCACGTCCATGTTTTGTTCGAGGTTCGCATCCGCGTCAGCTTCCTCATCATCATCTCCCACTTCACGACTAGYAGCCATACAAACTCCCTCTATACCACCACCATCTTCCCTCTMCATTGAGTCTGGGGCTATYTGYGAGCCAGAGCGAGTGCATACCATGTGCAGAAGTTTGTCCCCCTCATCTCTGTTATYCGTTAAAGGCTCGGTAGTGTCCGGCGGACTTGTTTCCCCAAATACTAGTGCACCTTCCGCATCGTGMTCCCCCCCACTCCGTCCTCCATGTGACGACATGCCTSTGTCGCCTGCCRACAACGGGTCTCCCAGTCCACTTGGCACCCGCTGGGCACCCCCATCTCCCGCATCTCCCGCATCTTCGTTGGTTGTGGCCTCCTTTTCCCYCTGTTCCTTTGTATTTTCTGCCCCTTCCCCACCGCATGCCGGACCTGCCGCCTTTTCCCTGGCACCGCGGCAACGCCCTCAGAACACGGTGTTTTCTGTAGCTCATCATGTGATGCCTTGTGAGTTCCCTCTTCTTTGCATTCGACGTCCTTCCTCTCATGCCTTTCCTTTTCAGCAACACTCGTCTTAACAGTTCCTTGGCCAGTCCCAGTTAAACTCTTACACTGTCTCATCTTCTCTTCCGTGGCTTGACTGCACCCCACCAATATATCACTGTCGTACAGTTGTTCCGTCTGACGATACTCCAATGTCCATCTGATGTGTCCTCGTGAAGGGGTCGATTTTCGCTCGTAGAAAGCAGCGCAATACTCCAGAAGATTGTTTTCAAGCAGCGCTTCAAATACGGAGTTCACCTTTTCGCTGATATCTTGCTCTCCTGCACCCTTTTTTGCCTGCAGCACGCGTATCAACGATTGTTCCTTCGCAGTGTCAAGGAACTTACTCCTGCTCAGTCTCTTCTTGAATATCCACTTCCCTCCGACTCGGACAGCCATGTGTCATTTGCCATCCAACACACATGGCTCGAAAAGACCCGGATGCCATATGATGTGATGGCCCTATTTGTACACCTCAATCTCTGTGAACTTAGTGTCCAAAAAGTGAGGTCCTCCTTTGCTCTCCTTCATGTGACTTTCAATTTCATCTCCAGGAGTTAAATCTTTGTCCTCGTCATCTGGAATGCGGAACAACGGCTCGTTCTCCAGATCCATGTCATCCTCCTCGGGGACTGCGTCGTCATGATGACTACGAGTTTGCTTCTCTGTTGGCATTTCCATGACGTGGGCAAACATTTGCCTCATCATCATTGGAAACCCTGGGGTGCCTCGCTTGTCTTTCCATTTCGAAGTGTTTGCCTCGGTCCCATCTCCTGTGGATGACGTCTGCGTTTCTGTGAGCTGGGCGGTTTTGCACCTGGCTATTTTCGGTCTCCCGACTTCAACCACCATCGGATCCCCCCCCGATAAGGACCCGATGCGCATGTTCTCGTCGACTGCGTGGTTTCTTGCATCAGGCTGCGGCAGGTCGATCTCGTCATCATCGGTATCCTCCTCACTGTCCATTATATCGAAACGGTCTTCGGGCTCCAACGCTTCGTTATAAATCCTTGCGTCGATGTGGCACATTTTTCTATCGAACCACAGGTCCTCGCAACGTGCCAGGAATATCTCGATTGCACCAATCTTGGCGTCGTGGTACCGTTGGAGGTGTTAGAGAGCGACGACTTTTCGCGCAACGTAATCTGTCTCGGTTCGTATATCAGGAGCATTGCAGAACAAGTACTTCCACAAAGATTCTCTCTTCTTCTCGAGTTTCAGGAACATGTCTCGGCCCGGCCGATGMTGAGTTTTGGGACGCTCGAAGTGACAACGACTTTCAGRATTATGGACGAGGCRATCAATAAATGCCGTACAAAATTCGAGCATGGTGGTCGAGCCGTCACATGCCACCACATGACGGCCGGATCGAAGCAAGTCCCAAACTGACCCAGATTGGACGTTGCCCAGAAGAAGCACACCCTCCCCCTCCTTCGAAAACCATGAACACAACTCCTTGATTCTTGYTGGCTCTCTCTCCCAGACCCCATAAACAACTTTGTCTTCACCGGTCACRCCRATGTGCTGTTGTGTTCAACGGACGAACATATCCTCCTCGTAGTTAGTGTCAAAAAACACATTATCACGTTTGGACGGGACGGTGACTTTTTTGAAGTCATTGCCCGTGTCGTGCAACATTATCGACATTGAGTCGCGGCTCCTCAATGGAAGATTCCCAAGGGGGACACATGAGGATGTTTGCGTGCCATGATGTCGCCGCCAGCGGCCCGGAAGAAATTTCACACCCCCCCACCTGAAGATGTTCCTCAGAATGTAGTCCTCGCCCTTCAATCCACTGAAAATGATCAGTGTCCAATGTGTCCCGCACAGAGCCATCATCATTTGCTGAAGTTCCACAAACCTATGCTCCGTCCATGAATTCAAATTCTTGTGGAGAGCCAGGTCCAATACCGCAAGGTGACAACCCTTCACAGCACGAGTGAAATCCTCTGTCGGTTGCAGCCCATCCAACGGCGTCATGCACACAGGCAAATACGTTGTATTACACTTCCGCTTATCCCAGAGTATATGCTGCGCATTTGCATTGACGCGTTGAAGCTCGTCCTTCAACTGGCTCACCGCTCCCACTATCTCATGCAGAAACAGTTTGAGGAAGTACGGGCACTCAATATACATTTCAGTCGTCACCTTGTACCCCCCCACATTCCCCTGTCTCAACTTCCCCTCGTCCACCCCCCCCAGTCGTTTCGGCACATTGTTCGTTTTCTCAACTGAAAGTTTCATCTTCTTCTTCTCCCATTTCTCTTTCGTCAACCCGTGCGGCTCAAATCTCTTCACAATATCATCGTACCCGATGAAGAAATCGTCATTCCATTCACGATGTCCCCTGCGTTCTGACTTGAAGAGCACATAGTTGAACATGCGCACCATGTATCTCTCCTTGCGGACTTCTGTGTAGAGGTCGTTCATGTTCATCAGTTTCTTCACGAAAGTCCTGCGAGTGGTGACAACAACCTTCCCTGCCAAAATCAACTCCAATGCCATCTCCTTTTCCCTAGCAGTGAAATCCCCGAACACTTTCCAAGCGCTCGCCGAAGGATCATGAACACACACATAGTACCTGTTCAGACTTCAAGTGCACGTAGTGCACGAGTTCTTTTTTCCGTTTCACTGTTTTGGCAGCTGGACTTGGACCGGACGCCTCGCCCGGCCTCCCCTCTTGATCAACCGGCCTAACTCCATCCTGGCCAGGCAATTCCCCTTTCTCCCACATGTCGAAGAACCAGTTCACCAACTGCCACACATTGTTGCCAGTGCTGGCAACAACAGAAAAAATGTGGAAAAAATCCATCGAGTTTCCAACTCGGTGCCCGTGGTGGACCAGCGTTGGAACGACGATAAATGCCTTGCCCAACCGTTGGACCATCACCGTTGTGTGTTTCCAACATTTTGATCAACACGTGGCCAACGTTGGTCCAACAACTGTTCAAAGTTGATCCAACGTCTTTCCAACACGTCTGTGTTGAAATTAAAGTGTTGTCAGGTTGCCATGACAGAAGTTGACTACTGCGGGTCAATTTAGGCACAATCACATTGAATCCACCTGATTTGGCCCGCGGTAGTCAACTATGGACTTGGACGAGGTGCGCGGGTTGACAATTGCGCACGGAAAGCGAACACATCAAAAAGATGGAGCGCACGAAACAGCGTCGCACCCCAGACGAAAGGAAGATGAAGCCGGTCCTGGTTGAAAGACCGCGGAGCTCTCTCTGCAGATGGTTCCGAATCCTCTTGCACGCGGCGTGATGCGCATCACCGTTGGGTGCGCTCCGCGACGCGGTTATCTGTTAAGTGTGGAATGAGAGGGTGCTCAGGTTCAGGAATTGCGGCCCGCCCTTCCTCCTTCGTGCATGTCAGCAGAAATCGTGAAGAGAAAAGAAAAAAGAAAAAAAAGAAAAAAAAAAGAGTAACAAAAGGAACAAAAAAAACAAAACAAAAAAAACAAAATAGGAAACCGGGTAGGCGATGGGAAAACGCAGGCGCACACCCAACGTGACGGAACCACGTCGCTGTGGTTGGTCCACCCAACGTGACGGAACCCATGTCGCCCTTTTTTATTTTGGATTTTTTTTTTTTCGTGATGGTTGATCGCGCCTCAGGTGAGGACGTCTCCCTCGAAGGCCGTGTCCTCGCTG